ATAGATAAGAAAATCAAGACACTGAAATGTTAGGTGACTTAGAGCTGAATTACTCAGGCCTGCCCTGGAATAGTGTTACCCCCCTTTTCTTGCTGTAAGACACAGGGGAATTACTCACTCTCACATAGAAACTTCTGTGGGTGAATCCAGGCTGTGTTCAGTTCCCAGGGCCCTTGCTCTAACTCCAGTGCTTTCTTTCCTACTGAAAATTTAAAGACTAACCATTAACTATCCTTTTCTTTTTAGTTACCGGAAGCACTCTTTAAAGAGGAAGTAACGAAACAGCAGACTGAAGTTTGGCCAACAATGTTTTTAATATTGAATTTTTAAATCAAGAGAGTTTGTGCAGAGCTCTGGATTTGCTGCTGTATCAACAGTGAGCCACATTCCCCATGGCAGCCCTTAGCTGGGGGTGCCTTTCCCCAAGCCATACACTCTCCCATTATTGGCCTGGCCTCAAAGGCTTCGAAGCCCAAATTGCCCGGATTACATCAACTGTGGCTTTAGCTTTTTTAAAAAGAAATAATCTGTGTATAAGGTTCATTCTCTGTGTCTAACCACCTTCAGGATTGCAAATGTTCTTAAGTCTCCCCAAGGTTATAGTTCAGCTGAGGGTCCTGTTCACCTGACTGCACCTGTGAGGAGCTGGCAGATTGGAAATTAGAAAGGTTCAGGCCACTTTGGTTTTAAAAACTTGGAATTCTCTGAGATTGCTGTTTCTGGGCCTTAAAAGCTCAGACTTTTGCTCATTCAGAGAAGAAACTTTGGCCTGTTTCCTCTGTGCTGGAGGCATTTGGGTTCTAATAGGATGCTGGCTAGCACAGAAATGGGCTTGCCACCTTTCCTATTGCTACTCAAAGGCAACAAACAGCATCACCTGCGATCTGGTGAGAAATCCATAATCTGGGGCCTCACCCCAAATCTAACAAATCACACTGTGCTTTAAGGAGATCCTTGAGGGGTTTGCAGGCCCATTAAAGGTTGAGAAGCACCACTAGAGTGAGTAGCGGGAGATAACGTTACTCTTCCTTGTCTTTGGATGCTCTGCTCTCAGCTGGCTCTATGTGACACATGTTCTCCCTGCACAGACCAGGACTCCCCCAAAGATGATATGCCCTCACCCCGCCACCATCACCCCCAGGCCAGATTGCTTTTGAGTTCACATTTGAGTTCATATCTGCTCTGATTCAGCAAACCATTTAGCACGTTGGCTTTGCCAAGTTTCTTTTCCCCGATCCTTTTAATCCCTTCATGAAATTTTCAAATGGATATTAAACAGAGTAGAAGAGAGCCAAGATGGTTTGCGAATGGAAGTTTCTCCCACTCTCAGGCTGTGTTCTCCATCCTGAGTCATAAGTCAAGGATCAGGCAAAGCTATATAATCACTTTTGTTGATGAAACCCTATAGGGCCAAGATCTAATTTTCATTCCTCAAAACAACAAGAAGCCCCTCGCAGCCTGGCAGGTGGCCTGACCATCCCATCAGTGCCTGGCTGCATCTCAGGGCTGTTCAGGACATGAGAGGGCTGGCAGCAAGGCCAAAGACAGTAGAGTGTCATGTGCCACAGTGCTCTCTGAAATGACTTGATGGTTATCTCGTACAAAACTCAGAATATTTCTCCAGCACTATATAGTTCTGACCCTGCCAACACTGTTTCACAGTAAAAAATAAAAGAACCAGAGTGAAGGATTGCGTAAATATTACAAGAAAGAGCAGCCTAAGTCACCTGCTTATCTTTGAAGTAGGTTTACTTCGTTGGCTATACCAGGTAGAAAACTTGGAGTATGCCTTAGTATCCTACCACACCCCAAACAGTATCCTTAGTTTTTTTCCTGTCGCTTTTGGGTCTTTCAATAATATAATGTTTTTTTCCTCCCCAGAGTTCACATCAAAACTACAAACTCTATCCATAGTCATGTCAAAACATCATCACTGTGTTGAAAATTATTAGGGAAATTGGGAATAGAATGGGGAAGGGGTAGAAGCCAAAAGGAAATGAGGTATGAAGTACTTACAGATAATTGCTATTTCTGACATAGTTCTTTCACTCGGGTTTTAAGATTAGTAATTGTCGAGGAGTGTGGAAAAATTGTGAGTGCTGGAGGAGCCGTCCTGAGGGTGTCTGCTGCATGACTAGAGAAAGCAGTGTGCAAGAAAGACGAGAAGCTTTCTGGAGAATACTTCCTAGAAGATAGACTGGTAGTTCTCACTCTCGTGAATCAACAATAAGGCTTTTTTTTTTTTGAGACAGAGTCTTGTCCTGTCACTCAGGCTGGAGTGCAGTGCCATGATCTCAGCTTACTGCAACCTCCACGTCCTGGGTTCAAGCAATTCTCCTGCTTCAATCTCCAGCTGGGATTACAGGCACGCACCACTGTGCTGGGCTAACTTTTTTTTCTTTAGTAGAGATGGAGTTTCACCATGTTGGCCAAGCTGGTCTCTAACTCCTGACCTTGTGATCCGCCCACCTCAGCCTTCCAAAGTGCTAGGATTACAGGCATGAGCCACCATGCCTGACCAAAAGTCAGGCTTTTTATTCAGTGTTGCCAGCAGTTCCAAAGCCTACCATAACAGACCTGCAGGTCTGCAGGTGTGCACAGAAGGCCAGGCCAGGGGTGTAGGTGTTTGGGGCTTCTGGTCCTAATGTGATGGAACTAGAAGAGAAGATGGTTAGAAGAGACGCACAGGCCTGCATGCGGAGTGATATTACATGAGAACTACAGCTCATCTTCAAAGCGCTTTGTCCTAAGAACAGTCAGTGCAGGACCATAGAAAAGTTCAGTCATTCACCAGTATTCCAACGTGCTATTTTGAAACTGGAAAAAAGTCCTTCATTCTTAGATCCTCAGAACCTCTCCAATTTAGAGTAAGACAGGACTGAAGGAATCTTGTCCAACTAACTCATGCCCCAGGAGAAGGGAGATGAGCTTTGTCTCCCACTGCCCACTAGATGATGTTCCCACTCTGGTCCTCAGGCACAAAGTTGAAGGGTGCAGATCTTGGTCCTGCCCCTCACTGTCCCTAAACCTTCTGATATTGTCCTGGGGTCAGACCTCTCCCAAGAGACCTGGGTATGATGCCCTCAGAGTTGCATCCTGGCCGAGGCTCTGCTGCCTGCTCTGGCTCTGAGTCTCTCTGTAAAGAGGATGAGATTGTGCCTCCAGAGGAATCGGGGCTCCCTTCTGGCATTTCATTCAACATGTGTTCAAAGAAACAATCTCATTTCATCTTAATGGGAGGAGGTGGTTTTTTAAACTAAATTGAGGTATCAAAATAGAACCACACAATTAAAGGAAATTGTTAATGTGTATTGCCTTGGGGTTTCTCAAATCTTGCATAGGAAAATATTTTTATTAGAACAAATCCCTTCGAAGATTACTAAAATTATCTCTAACAAAACACTGTGATGGGTTGCATTTAGAGATTTAAGAATTTCAGAAGATTATAAGGAGAAATATCGGGAGATTTGGTTGTAATATGACATTATCTATTTTGAAAGTTAGTTATTTGGCATGTTAGTTGAATAGGTTACTCTCTGAACATTCCTAATTATAACCAAAGATGTTGATAAGGTCATTAGCTGTTGCTTTGGAGTGCTGATGCATCTGTAAATATTCTCTGCCTGCAGTAACAGGCTATGGGAGGAGTTGTTCCAGGGACTGCGGGGGTAAGTGTTACATTATATGGCATAGGAAATAGAAAGACTCCTTATAGAATTGTAGTAGGAATATTGATAAACTTTCCACTATTGACATGTGGGATTTGTTGTTGTTGGCTTGGTAAGTCAAGCTGTCCCATAAAAGCTTACCTGTGACTCAAGTTTTCTATAGTATTAAAATAACATATTTTTAGGTATGAGTGAAAATTTTTTTTTTTTGAGATGGAGTTTTGCTCTATCACCAGGCTGGAGTGCAGCGGCGCAATCTTGGCTCACTGCAACCTCTGCCTCCTGGGTTCAAGCGATTCTTTCGCCTCAGCTTCCCGAGTAGCTGGGACCACAGGCACGTGCCACCATGCCCGGCCATTTTTTGTATTTTTAGTAGAGACGAGGTTTCACCATGTTGGCCAGGATGGTCTCGATCTCTTGACCTCGTAATCTGCCCACCTCCGCCTCCTAAAGTGCTGGGATTGGTATGATTGACATTTTTAAGATTTTGTTCCTAGTAATATAGGGGATTTGGGAATATACATACCATAAAGAAACTTTTGATTTCTTCTCATTAAGTATGAAAAATTATGGAGCACTTAGGGACAATTAAATTATCTACTCATATGGTAAATCTGGAAGTATTTCTAGGTTTCTTCTAATGTTAAAAAAAAGTAAGCTTGTGTTTAATGGGAGGAACTCCATACACATTAGTGGTTTGCAGAAGAAAGTGTTTTTAAATGTATTAGTTGGCCAAAGTAAGATAACTGAAACATGTTGTTTTGTTTTGTTTTGTTGTTTTAACTTTGTAGCTTTCCTGCCAAACCCATTTCTTACCCTTTTCAGTTTATGAAGTTTAAAAAGTGACCGTTGCAAGTGTTGCTGAGAGATGTGGTAGCACGAAGGGAATACGGAGGGAGAAGTTTTGCTTCATTGCAAAAGAAGGATTTGTAGGAACTTGGTGGCTTGTAATAAGCTGGGGAACTGGGCTTGGCTAGACCCTCATTCGTACGTTCATCTAGTATTTGCTGGGTTTTGAGCTAAGAAATGCCAACCGGGCATGTTCAGAAGGCGGATCTCACCAATCCGGAGGCAGCTGGAAGAGTTCGCGCGTGGGAAACCTCAGCCCTTTCTTTCTTCCCAGCATCGCGCTGCGCTGCCGCGGGTCGGCGCAGGCGGGGGCACACGGCCCGGGTCGTCCCCCTCGCTTGGTTGGGGGAACAGCTCCGGAGCTGCGGCCTGCGACCCTCGGCCGGCCGCGCAGGGGCGGGGCGGGGGCGCTGCGGGGTTTGTTGCTAGAGCCGTGATGTCACCCGCCCCTCCTAACCCGCGGTTGGTTGTTTTGTGTTTCAGCTCTGCCTGCAGTTGAACACAAAGACCTGGAGGAGACTCCCACCTCCTTCAGGGAGAAGAAAGGAGGCAACGAAGCAGATTAAAGGAACTTGTGGCTTGTGGCCTTTTTGTCCAAGGGCTGCCTGGAAGGAGAGGAAAGTGTGTGAAAGGCGCCGCGGCGGTTAATGAGCTGTGAGATGAGGCGTTGCTGCGGCCGCCGCTGCTGACACTCGCTCCCAGGCTGCACCCGCCGCCCGCGTTGCTTCATGTACATGTGTCTATTCAGGCCGTGCGGAGGCGCCCAGAAGAACATCCAACACGGCTGCCGGGGAAAGACCGCCCACCATGCCCACGGAGACCCTACAGACAGGTAGCATGGTGAAGCCGGTCAGCCCCGCGGGCACCTTCACCTCGGCCGTGCCCCTGCGCATCCTCAACAAGGGGCCAGAGTACTTCCGCAGGCAGGCCGAGCCCAACCCCAAGAGGCTCAGCGCCGTGGAGAGGCTGGAGGCCGACAAGGCCAAGTACGTCAAGAGCCAGGAGGTGATCAACGCCAAGCAGGAACCGGTGAAGCCCGCCGTGCTGGCCAAGCCCCCGGTGTGCCCGGCTGCCAAGCGCGCGCTGGGCAGCCCCACGCTCAAAGTGTTCGGCAACCATGCCAAGACCGAGAGCGGCGTGCAGAGGGAGAACCTCAAGCTGGAGATTCTGAAGAACATCATCAATAGCTCCGAGGGCTCCAGCTCAGGCTCAGGGCACAAGCACAGCTCCCGCAACTGGCCGCCCCACCGCTCGGAAGCTACTGACCTGCACCGGCACTCCTTCGCGGAGTCCCTGAAGGTCTACCCGACGCAGGGCCGCGGCAGCCCGCAGGAGGGCGGCTCCCACGTGAGCAGGAGACTGCTGGAGCAGTCGGCCGAGTCCTTCCTCCATGTGTCCCACAGCTCCTCGGACATCCGCAAGGTGACCAGCGTGAAGCCCCTCAAGGCCATCCCCTGCAGTAGCTCTGCCCCTCCTCTGCCTCCCAAGCCCAAAATCGCAGCCATCGCCTCCATGAAGTCCCCCGAGGCCGATCCTGTGGAACCAGCTTGTGGAGTCAGCCGGAGACCCTCCCTCCAGCGGTCTAAGTCAGACTTGAGTGACAGATATTTCCGAGTGGACGCAGACGTGGAGAGGTTCTTCAACTACTGTGGGCTGGACCCGGAAGAGCTGGAAAACCTGGGCATGGAAAACTTTGCAAGGGCTAATTCTGACATAATATCCCTCAACTTCCGCAGCGCAAGCATGATCAGCTCAGACTGTGAACAGTCTCAGGACAGTAACAGTGACCTTAGAAATGATGACAGTGCCAATGACCGCGTGCCGTATGGCATTTCTGCCATCGAGAGAAATGCTAGAATCATCAAGTGGTTATATAGCATCAAACAAGCTAGAGAGTCACAGAAGGTCTCCCACGTGTAAGACAGTGCGTGGAAAGGAGGGAGGGTGGGTCTCTGTGCTTATGCAGTCGTGAAGGTTGTGAGGTCTCCTTGAAGTGTTGTGAGCTTCTTCACTCTTTGTGTTGCTTGTTGTGCAATGTTTTCAAGTTGCATGCCTGTCAACATGGGGACTGACCTGGCTTCCACGTCACCATCGCTGCAGAGCCTGGCTGAACATGCATCATCTGCCAAAAGTTTCAGGCCAGAATCTGATTAGGGCTTTGCTCCTAAGCAAAACTGTTTACATGAAAATGGTATACAACTTCTTCGATATTTATGTGGTTCTTGTGTTTTTATATCCCGCGCTATTGTGTCTTAATTAAAAGTTTTATCAACTGGCTTTTAAGTTGAGAGCAGGATCTTTTTGAAATAAAAAGCCACTTTGCCTACATGTAAGACTATTCCCGTGGGACAGTGATTGGGATCTGCTGTCAAACAGATAGTGACTGACCGAACATAGAACCAGGCTGGGTTTTCTGTGGAATAAAGTGGTGAGCCTGACATTAATCATTTACATGTTGAAATTCTCTTTCCACTTAGTGAAGCAGTCGTTTGGGTAACAATGCTACGTTTTGTGTCTGATTCAGTGTGTAAATGTTGGTGGTTCTGTGTAATACCCCAAGGAAAGATGATCAGATACAATGAAGGATGGGTAAATCTAGGAGGTTGGATGTTTGGGGGTTTTGTTGATGTTCTGATTTGGGATAATTCAGAAATTTTTAATATTGTCTTTTGACAGAATGGCCACCCTGAAACAGATACTGAATGCCTTTAAAAAAAAGTTATGGTTTTTTTGTGGGTTTTTTTGTTTGTTTGTTTGTTTTGTTTTGTTTTGGTCAAGAACTACTAATTTGATGCTGTTTCTTTCCCTCTCCCTTTGTTGTTGTTTGATTTGGAGGAAGGGAGTGGGGCTTGTGCAGGTTCGCACAGAAATGGAAATATCAGCCATATCAGTAGAGCCTCCCATTCAAAAGTGAATGCACTTGGTAGCTAAACTATATCTGAGCAGCGTGATTCTGTTGTCTTGTATATGTTATTCTCTCAGGCTGTGGGTCTTTGTTACAGCTCTAGGAAACTGTAGAAACACAATGCTATGTAGCTTTTCCACCCCGTAGTCTCTAGTGCTGCCCATCAACTTGTCCCCTTTTTTCCCCAATAACCTGTCTTCCAAGTGGTACTCTTAGCTATCACTCAGCTGACACCAAGATGTGGTGGCTGAGAGGGAAACCTACAAGTGGTTTGCCTCATTGCTTTTGCTATGTCTGAAGTTCTCAGCAGCACTACGTTAGACTTCATCAGCTAATAGGAAACTTTTTATGGTGTAAATGCTGTAAGACTTTGTACATACTTCAGTTGTTACGAAATCTTTAAAGAAAAAAATGAAAAAGTTACGCTAATAAATTGCTCTGGTGCAGGCACTAATGGTGGTGGTTTCTCTTTGTCCTTCTCTGTTCTCCTTCCACAAAAGTTTAACTTTTGACTATGAATCAGAAGTAGATTTTTGATAGTCAATAATTATTATTTCAATAATTTTCATTATTGAAATAATGAAACATTATTTCATTACGTTTTCACCATATTCCAATGACTCTGAACAGCAGTGTTCTTAAAATATGCTGCAGCATCTCAGTTCACACTTGTGTTATGTTTGTCTTTTCTTAAACATCAGGATGTTTTTACATCTTCCACAAGACTCTTGAGTTGTAAATATTTATGAGCTCTTACCTTGGAGGCGTATCTTTGAAATGTATGGCTTAGTTTTTATTTGTACCAGCCCAACATCTGTACAATGGCACGTGTCTACACACTCGCTCCTCCACTCCTTCCTTCATTCCTGTCGCTTGTGGAATGACTCCTTTCAGACAGCACGGTAGGCACAGGACTGCCACGGTCAACAACACAGTCTCTGCCTCAAGGAACTTAGATTTTCCCCATTATTTTAAGAGAAATAATATACCTCTTATTGGACATGTCCTATTTGCTATATTTGGACACTGAGTATTCCATGGTGGTTTATTACATCAAGTTATTCAAAAATTAATGTTTCTTACAAAATTCCGTATAATATGCAAATGTAAAATACAGCCCTATTGAAAAGGTAATTTTCAGAAACAAATTATATGATTCTCAACTATTACTGTTTATAAACATTTTCCTTCTGAAAAGCAAATTTGCTTTCTTGACTTTCCTGTTTTTGAATTCTGCCTGGTTCTTTTACTCATGTTCAGTAAAACTAGAACCCTGCTTCCAAGAGGAAATATTTTGGAATGCAGCTATGAGTGGGGATGACGCAATGTGTTCAATATAATAGAATAAAAATTAATTTTCTAAAAAAACAAAATAAAACAAAATTTTATTTCTTACCATTTGTGTAGAAATGTGGCCTTTTAAAACACATATGACTTTGCATTGACATATTCATCTCTCTCTCAAGCTACTGACATATTAAAAATAGATATTATTTTCCTAAGGAAACCCTTTTCTGGGGAGATGACCACTTAGCTAATTTACTATCACTGCTTGTGCTATTTGAGTCATAGACTGAATTTTCCAGTATTTCAATACTATGTGCGATCTGTATTCAGACAGGACTATAAATCACCCCACTACAATTCAGTCTAATCCTCTGTGGCTTACTTGTACAATGGACAAATGTGAGGCTTTTGGTTCCAATGGAAGATCGGAGCGCTTTCTTTTTGTTCTTGAACTAGCATTTCTATAAGAACATTTCAAATGCTTAATATTCAATCCTAAGAGTGTGGTATTTCTTGTGAAGTACTTTTTGTGAAGGGCTCATTTTTCTAAGCTCATGGAAGTATCGTGTGTGTATAAGACAATAATGTTGGTATAAATGTGGTGGTGTTGAATAGTTCACACTTTTTTTTTTCCTACACAATGCAGAGTGAAACATGATTGCACTAGATGGCCTTAGAAACTACCTGTTTCTTTCTGAAAACCACCAAATCTTAAGACAGCCTTCCATATGCACCCCTCTGCCATTGCCTTAGTTCATATTCTCATCATCTCTTACCTGAGCTGTTGATTCTAGAAGTTCCTAACTGGAAATCTCCATCACAACGCAATCAGCCTCTTCCCCATTCCATTTCATGCCAGAAATACCATCAGCTCTGATCATGTCACTCCCCTGTGTAAAAGCACCCTCCGGCTTGAATAGGTTGCTGATAGGCTAAATCCTAACTTCCTATAATAGAGAAAGTTGGACATCTCAGTCACCCAGCCCAGGCCTCCAGGCTCCAACCAAAGGGAAGTTTGCTTTGGGAACTTTTCACCACTGTGTTTGTGATCTATTGCATAACAAATTATCCCAAAACTTAGTAACTTTAAACAATTACCATAGTTCCTGTGGATCAGGAATGCTAGAGTGGCTTAGCAAAGTGGTGTTGGCTCAGGGTATTTCACGAGGCTACAGGCAAGATGAGGCTTGACCACTTCCAAGATGGCTCGCATGTTATTAGCAAGAGGGCTCAATTCTCTACAACATGGGCCTCTCCCAGGGGCTGCCTGAGAGTCCTTATAACATAGCATCTGGTTTCCCCCAGAAAGAGTGACCAGGGAGAGGGAGCAAGGAGGATGCCACACTGCCTCATACAGTTCAGTATCCTGGGTCACACACATTCAGTGTGTGCGATGGCAGTCTATCACATTCAATTCACTCGAAGTGGGTCACTAAATATAGCCCAACAGGGAGAGGAGTGAGGCTCATATTTTAAACGGAGGAATATCAAGGAACTTGTAGACATATCTTAAAACCATCATTGCTGCTGAGTTTCAGTGGCTCTTCAATCTAGAAGGAATGCTTTCTCCTCCCTCCTAGACCACATAGACACTTGCTCTTTCGATACTCAACACAATCATCAATCAGTGCAATTTTTTTTTGAGTCTCTATGTTACCTTTCTCCGTTAGATTGTATTTTTTTGTCGTTTGTCATGGCCATGACCCAGCCTTTGCTAGCCAAAATGGTGCCTTTGTATGAATTTTAAAAAGGTGTGCCTTCCTCAAAACATTTTATTTCCTTCCAAAAAAATAAAAATGAAAACCTCCTAATAAACATGCAAATCTCTGATGACTGTGATGCAAACTGTGGTCCCAGAGTTGGGCAGCAAGCAAGAAACACAGCAGCCCAGGGTATATAATAGGCGCTTAGGCAGTACATACTGACTTTTTTGTTGTTGTTTTGCCTATGACGTTCATGTCCTATGCTAAATTATAAATGTTGCTCCAGTAAACCCAAAGTAATAGTTATTGTCCCCATTTTAGAGGTGAGAAAACTTAGTTTCATGGAGATTATGCACTTTAACCAAGATCCCAGAGACAGGAACTTGCAGAGTGGAACCTGAAACTCAACTCATTCCAAATGTTTTGAGGAAGGCATGCCCTCTCTACAGCCCAGTTGGAGACAAAAAAGGCAAACTGAGTATGTTATGCCTAAACACAGAAGGGCCCTTAAATTCGTTTTGATATTTTTATCTGATGGCTGTGTGAATAAACAGTCCTCAAGCAGTCAAAATTCAGAAATTTCATTCTTACCTAAATAGGAGCCCATAAAGTTAGAAAAAGACTTCAGCTCTTCCACTGTGAGTAACACACAGCCCAATGAGTTCAGATGCAAGGACATTCGAAATTTGTGCTTTCAGTTTTGATGTGCCATATTTTAAAATCGCATCCTGTCTGTTTTGATCAAGGACTTTTAGAAGGCTGGAGAAAAATGGCCACAATTTCACATCAGGAAACACATTTTGACTATTTGTTGAGTCAGCTTCACTGCGTTCTCCCGTCCTTGCGGATGTAGCTGGCATATTCTGACCAGAAGGAATAAAGAGGGTAAGAAAGCTCCAGATAGACTGAGTAGATTCCTAACTCAGTCAGAAGAGACAGCGAATCTCATCAGCATTTTGAAAATGCCAAACCTGACTCGTCCACTTAGCCCCATAAAATAACTCGACTTCTGTCAGTTTCATGCTGAACAAGAGCTGAGCTGGAAGGACCCCACGGTGGGTGGCTGCATGAGTGACTCTGCACAGGTCATCTTCATGAAGGTTTCTCCTGTGTAGTCAGGCCCTATCTCCTTGCTTTGGCAGAAACCCAGGAGAAGGAAAAGCCAGAGGTCCTTGGCCACCTTTTAGAACCCCTTCCTCCAATACCTGGGACTCACCTGCTTCAAAGTGCACTGCCATTCCCTCATCTGGAAAATGTGAGGAGGCCATCAGACAGATGTGAGCCCTTGGCCTCAGGGCTCTGGGACAGCATGGATAACTTTTTGAAGCATTAGGATGATGTATGAAGAATATGAGAATTCAGAGAAGACTAGGTTCATATCGTAGGCAAGTAGGAGAGCAAGTGAGACCCAGTGGGGGCCAAACACTTAATAGAATAGCACTTTATGCTCTGTCTACCTGGGAGATTGTTAATTGGAGAAGAAAATGAAGGATTCTTTTCTAAATGGAGGGAATCTTCAGAAAAGCCTCGTTAAACTTTCAGGTTGACACAGGCTGACAGAATCGAATGTGGCCAGGTCCACACCAACATACCATTCAAAGTTGTGAGGATAAAGATTATGATGGTCTTTTACTAGTTGAACATTCTTTTCATGTGACATTCATGAAACTACATGTCTTAGATGGACACTATGACAAGCACTTTATTACAGAATCTCACCTTATTCTCACAAGAACTTTAGAAGTAAATTTGAATCCATCTTACTGACGAAGAAGCTGAGGATTAAGTTTCTTCTCCAGGGCACACATCTAGTAAACAGAAAAAGCAAAACACAAACCCAGGTTCATAAAACATATCCTAAGACTCAGTCTGTGCACATGAAAATGAATTGTTCATATCTGGGATGGTGGGATCACTTTTGCTTCTTTGCAGTAAGTTGCATCACAGAACATTTCTCAGAACTTAAAACACTGTTGTACATACTGGTTTGTGATTGTTTCATAGAGTGAGTGACTCAAAACTGTTGATCATATGTGATCACATCAGGACCCAAGTTCTGAGTTCTTCTGAGAGGGACATTAGTAATAAACTATCCCTCTCCGTGTTACTGTACAATGGAGAAAACAGAGATCCAGATTAAATGAGGTGGTGGATGCAGCTGGGGCTGTAGGGCAAGTGAACTGGCAGAGGGGCTGGAACAGGGAGACAGCTGCTCAGACCCCATGAAGGAGCCTGGATCAGGGAGCAGTAGAACCTCACAAGGCTAACAATTTCATTGTGCCAAGTAGGAGTAACCTGGATGGAATAAACCCTGTTATTTTCAGGCAGTTTCCCTGACTCAAAAACTATGTATCATATATTTAAATAAACTTTGATTTAGAGTTTTTCTGTTAATATACATTAACTATTTTTAAATTAATTAGCACACATAATAAAGATGAAGAAATTTCTCTAAGGAAGTTTT